AAAAAGGGGGGTATTGAACAAGAATAAAATAGTTCCTTATGCCCATAGTTGTGAAAATGCCATACATCTTGAAAACTTTTAAAGGAAATGCCCAAGATGGCCACAGGATGGGTTGTTTCTCTGTGATGATATCCCAGAGTCCTATTAGTACTTCTCTGACTTTGCATCCTTCCCAGAGTCTCTCTGTTTGTCTTGGTATGTGTGCGTATCCCCTTTCCACATGCGTCTATCTGGCCATTCTCTTTACCTGTGTTTATGTGTGTGGCTTTCTCTCTGTGCTCGGGGTCCACTGTCCCTCAGTTTTCATTGGTGTGCATTCCTTTGTGTCTCTATCTTGTTTCTTTGTGTCTGGATACATCTGTCTCTTCTTTCTACCCTGCCTCTCTCCCGTGACTATAATGTTGAATAGCCATCTATTTTTCATTCTTTCCCTTTTGACTGGAAAAAAAAGTTTCCTAGTCTTAATTTTTAAAATAGATATAGCATATTTTATATATTCAAATTTTTAAAATTTCCATTTACCTATGATGAGTTACTTAGCACAATATCTAATATTCAGTAGGTACCCAATAATTATTATGTCCTTTGATCTGGCTTCCCTTTGTGTAACTGCCTAAGTGACCTTTTTTTTCCGCATGGGTCAATGATTCTCAGCAGGAAAAAAGGTAGATCCTCTGTATCTATCTATGACACTTTGTTGTTCTCTCTGATCCTCACCCAGGGCGCCAGCCCTCGGCCTCCTCTTTGTCATGACGCTGTCTGTGCCTGTCTTTTGGGAACTAATGAAGGTGCAGAATCAAAGTTAATTTTTTGCTCAGCCGCCCCGTGGTGACCCTGTACCTTCCACAGGCTCCTTCTCTTTTGTTCACCCTGCAAGTATTTAGTGAGCGCTTGCTATGTACTCAGTCATGGGGAGACAGGCATGAACAATGCAGACAGTAGTCTGTGCCCTCATGGAGCTTATGATCTGCTGGAAGAAGTGAGCAGAAAATAGGTACCTGAACAAGAGAGGGACAGTGGAGGCAGTGATTGGGATACCGACCAGGGGATGATCTCTCTGAGATACTTTCAAGGCAGGACCTAGAGTATAAGTAGGAGCCAACCTGGGACAAAGCAGGAGGGAGGTGGAGGGAGAGTGTCCTCATCAGACAGAGCAACCCTGCAAGAGGGCACAGGGTTGGGGCTGCACCTGCTGGAATGCTGGGAGCTGGGTGGACACCAGTGTGGTTGGAGGAGGTCAGCGAGCTGACAGCAGACTGAGCCAGGCTCCCAGGTCAGTGCAATAAGGGCTCATTCCAACCTGAGGGGAAGCCTCCGATGGGTTTTGGGCAGGAGAGGGGCTGATCTGGTTTATGTGTTTAAAAGATGACTCTGGCTAGTGTGGGGGGGCTTAGATTTCAGAAGCTGGTGAGGAAGCCGGCAGAAGGAGACTCTTCAAAGATGGTGAGAGTAGGGAAGGAAAGAAGAGAAAGCCTTTGGTAATATTTTAGGAGGTAGAAATGACAGAATTGGCAGACGAATGAGATGTGAAGACAAGGAAGTGGGAGAACCAAGGCTGGTGCCGGGTTTCGGGCTTCGGTACTCAGGTGCCCATTGCAGGGAGGAGGGGGGCTGAGCAATTCTCATCCCATTTTGGGGCATGAGAATTGGGCATGGACATTCCATCAGAGATGAGTGTAGAGCGTGCAAGGGGAGACATCAAGCAGGCAGGCAGATATAGGAGTCTATACTCGGGACTGGGGACTTGGGTTGGGGATAGAAATTTGGGAGTTGTCAGTCATGGGAATGGACTATCCCCCAGTGCAAGGGGATAGAGAGAGGAGCAGGGGGCCCAGGAATAGGACTGGAGACTCCACCATGAAGAGGGCAGAGCAAGGAGGAAGAACCTACCCAAAGGAAAAGGATTGGGAATCAGAGAGACGGCCCCAGTGGGCAGGATGCATCCTCAAAGCCAAGAGGACAGAGTGTTTTAACAGGGACCCATGCAGTGGGAGCCCAGATTGTGAGCCAGTGTGCCAGAAACTGCTGGAGGCTGGGGGAGAGTGGGGCAGAAAACCTGTCCCTGGATGTGGCCACCTGAAAGCCCCCTATGGCAGTAACAAGGGTGGCTTTGCTGGAGTTGGGGGGAATGTGGATCAGGGTAGGGTGAATGGGTGGTGAGAGAGTGGAGACAGCCTGGGAAGACAGGTCTTCTAGAAGTCTGGTTATGAAGGGCTTTAAATAAAGAAACATACCCATAGAGGATGAGAGATCAAGGGTGGGATCTTTGGGATAAGAAATACTAGAGTGTGTTTGGAAACTCTCAGAATGATCACTGGAGAGTGAGAGATTGGGCCTCAGCTGTTGTGTTACTTTTCACAATGATGAGAAGTTATCATTGTGTAACTCTTCACAGTTTACCAAGTGTCATCACACCCACTGTCTCAGCCTCACGGCCAGGCTATGAGGTATGCGGCAGCCCTGAGTTAAGAGGCAAGGCACAGCCTTGGGAAGGGGCGGGGCCAGACCCTTGTGCCCACACTGTGCTCTGGGCCCCTCCCTGTCCATAGCAGTCCTGTCCCAGGGGACTGGCGCCACACTGGGACGACGCTCACACAGCATGGGCTGTACCCTGCCAGTGTCCCTCAGGCCCTGTTTCCTGCTACCATCCAGCCAATCCCTTCTGCCTGCAGGCCCAGCTTTTGATATTAAGAAACCACGGCTACTATTCAAGAGCACAGGACACTGTCCCAGTCCCTAAGCCCATCTAACTGAGCCTCAACACCTCTTGAAATTCTGGAAAAAAACAGCAATCTCTGGCAGGTGTCAGAGAGAGGAAACGTGACCTTTCACATCCCTCATGTCCAGCCCCCCAGGCTTATCCAACCCCCCAGGCTTATCAGCATGGGGACTGTCACACAGAGGGACTGTGACTGGGTTAGTGACTGTGGCTAACCTCTGGACCGCAGTTTCCTTTTCTAGAAAATGCCTCATCTACCCTCTTTCTGTGGGGCTCAGGTGAGACAAAGCATCTGATAGTGCTTTCAAGAAGCACAGCCCTCTGGGACCGTGGTGTCTTGTGAGGAACAGCAGGGATGGCAGCAACCAGAAGATCCAGAGGCTGGGAGGACTAGTGCGTGGCACCCAAGGCAGTTTCTGTCCCTGGGGGCTGGAGCCAGCTGCTGACGGTGCTGGAACCCAAGTGTTCTGTCTCCCCTGCCCAGACACGTCCATGGGTCGTGCTGTGCCCTCGACTCGCAGCCCTCAAACGCTGTTCGTCAAGGCGTCCAAGGCGCGACCTTCCATTGCCGGGTGCTGACTCAGCTCCCAGTGAGCTCTGTTTCCACCCTCCCTCACACACTGTGGGTGCCAGAAGGCGCCCGGCCAGTTGCTCAGCATTCCCCAAACTTCACGGGCTCTGCATCTCGGTGACAAAGGAGAGGGCCAAGTTGGATCCATTTCAGGAAAGCAAGAAGTGATTTCTCTCAAAGACCTTGGAGAGGTCTTTCCGCCCACCCCATCCCCACCCCCAAAGCGTTCTCAGCCAGGACAGCCAGAGGCCGGCAGCTGAACGTCACTCAGGATGTACACGCTTAGGTTAAAACAAAGGCAGGAGGCCAGGACTAATGGATGGACATTGGCCGGGTTCCTTAGGAGAGCCTGGCAAGCCGGTGTTCCCTAGAGGTCGGAGGAGGCCTTCAGACATTCACGGCCATACTGCTGGAGGGTGACCTTGGGTACAGTGCTTTCTCTAGGTCAAAAGGCAATGGGAAGAAACCAACAGTGTGACACCTAAGCCCTATGACTCAGAATAGACTCTGAGGTTTCATTCATTCAGTCATTCAACAAGTATTTACTGAGCCCCTAGTGTGTGCCAGGAACTGTTCTAGGCCCCGGGGAACAAAACAGACAAAAAGTTCTGCACTCGTGGAGCTGATACTCCAGTGGGATCAGACAGAGAAGAGAGAGCTAAACACGAAGACAGAGAGTTGTCAGCTGCTGGTAAAAGCTTTGCGGGGAGAGAGCAGGGATGAGGGATAAGGAGCACGGGGAGAGGGTGGTGCTTGCAGATTTCAGGAATGTGTCCAGGCAGGCCTTGCTGAGAAGCAGCAATGGAGCTGGGACCTGAACTTGGTGACAGAGGGAGACAGCCATGTGGGTATCTGGAGGAAATGCATTCTGGGCAGAGGGACTAGCAAGTGCAAAGTCCCTGAGGCAAGGACGTGCCTGGGCTTCAGTGCAGCAAGGAGACTGTGTGGCTGCGGGAGAATGACAGAAGAGATGAGGACAAATGCGCATTTTAATCTTTCACATTGCGTTCCTTCGAGAAGGAACTCCAGCAGGTCCACCTACAGACTTTAGATGTGTTCGCAATCTCCCATCTGAGATGCTTACTTTACACCATTGTTTAAATGCTGGGACTCTGTCAGGAAAGTCATCTCAAACCTCAGCAAGAAAGCCTCTGCGCCTCCAGGGCTCATTTGCCCAGAAAGAGCCTGGGTCCCAGTCCTAGCACCTGACACCTAACTTGGGGAAGTGCATTCACTCTCTCAGCCTCATTTTACCCCAACACAGCTTTTCAGTTACCTCATCTGCAAAATGGGTTAATAATACAGCCTCCCATGCCTACTCTTCTTGCTTATTAGATTTAAATTAGCGAGATTACAAATAAGAAAGTGTTCTGACATTGAAATGCGCAAGGGAGATGTAGGGGGTGGTCGTTTCCTTCTCGAAGCCTATGGCAAGGCTGCCCGTCTCCCCGCGCCACCCTGCTTTCCTATTGTGTCCCACGTGGGCCCAGCTGACTCTTACTTTGAGTGAGTCTGTAGCTGATTCAGGGACACTCACCAAACACCCAGGAACCCCTGAGGCGAAGCTGTCGGGGGTCCCCCCAGAATGTCCCAAGGCTGAATTGCCCCACACTTGACCTGTCTGGGAGGATTCTAAGCCCCACTGTGGGACGGGAGGACACCAGGTGAGCCCAGCTGCTCCTCAACACCCGCTCCTTGCTCCTCCTCCAGGTACAACGGCCCCAACCTGGTTCTGAAGTATGACCGGACCCAGAAGCGACTGGTGAACATTGCAGTGGATGAGCGCAGCTCCCCCTACTATGCCCTGCGGGACCGGCAGGGGAACGCTATTGGGGTCACGGCCTGCGACATTGACGGGGATGGCCGTGAGGAGATCTACTTCCTCAACACCAATAATGCCTTCTCAGGTAAGGGGCTGGAGCCTCGGGCCCCTTCCTGCTTCCCACACCAGCTGGGGGAGAGGGGAGCCGTCCTCAGGTTATTCTGTCACAGGCTCCCCCAGGCATAGGTAGGACCCTGCTGCCTCCAGGAGCTCGCTGCGTCCTAGCAGAGACCCCCGAGAGGATCCCTGGCCTCCCTCAGACTTTCCGCCATCTTCATCTCCCAATCTGAGCAGCCTCCCGGCCCCGGTCTTCCTAACCCCTCCCCCACCCCCAACTGCTCCTGCCATTGCTCTGCCACTCAGCCCTTCTCACTGGACAGATGGCCCTGGAATCGCCCTCCATGCTGCTTCTAGGGGACCTTCCAAAATGCTTTGAAAGGGCCCCCCACCGCTTTTAGCTGAGCTCATTTATTCACTCCACAAATTCCTGCTGAGCACCTACTCCCTTCCAGACTAGAGACACTAGCTGCTGGGGAAACAACTTGGAAGCAGACAGACCTTGAGGTCCTGGAGCCTTTCCCGGCCTAGGGAGTCTCGGCCGACTTACCTGGGGGTCTGGTATGAATGGGCATTCGGACACAGCAGGTCCGGGCGCTGCCCAAGGTCCTGCATTGCTAACACACCCTCACGCTGGAATGCTGTTGCTGGTCCAAGGACCACCCAGGGATGGCTGAGGGACACTGATGCCAGAGGCTGAGTGACAGTAAGGGTAACGGTAGTGGCTAACTTAAGTATGCCAGGCCTGGATCTGAGCCCTTCACACGAATCGTCCCACGGGAGCCTCACAGCAGCGCACTTAGGCAGGTTCTGGCATCCCACTTTCCGGCTGAGGAGACTGAGGCACAGAGGTCACATGACTGGCACAAGGCCACACTACTTATAAGTCCCAGGACTCAAACCCAGGGGTCCAACTCCAGATCCACCCTTTAATTAAGATACTCCATGGCCAGAGCGCCTGGGTGGCTCAGTCAATTAAGTGTCTGCCTTTGGCTCAGGTTGTGATCCCAGGGTTCTGGGATCGAGTCCCGCATTGGGCTCCCTGCTCAGTGGGGAGTCTGCTTGTCCCTTCACCCCTCCCCCCTGCTCATGCTTTCTCTCTCTCTCTCTCAAAAAAATAATACTTAAAAAAAAAAAAAAAGGATACTCCACGGCCTTACTCAATTCTGTGTTCTCAGGGCCTAGTGGAGAGCCTGACTCATAGAGGGTGCTCAGTGTTGCACATGTTGGGGGCTGTGTTCTTGGGCTAAAAATCCAGGTCATTCCCAGCCCCTGTCCACATTCTCAAGCCTAAGCTCAGCGCCGTAGAACAAAGTCCACTCCCATGGAGCCAGAACATCTGCAAGGAAGTCTCAGGCCACGGTGTCCTCCTAAACCATGCAGAGCCTCATGTCCCTGAGGGGCCAGGTGGGACACGCATTGGCCTCTTCCAGACGATGACAACATTTTGGGTTGGTCTAGATGATACCCTGCAGTTCAGACCTGTGTATTTTCCATCCTGGTCCCTTCTGATCTCCCAGAGGCAGAGGACTGCCTGGCTCTGGGGATCGCCTTCCCTGCCTCTTTCCCAACACACACCCACACACACACGCTTTCCCTTAGCCCATAATGTTACACACACACACACACACACACACACACGCTTTCCCTGGGCCCATAACGTTGCCCCTATTGGTTTTTGAGGCCAGGCCAGGATCCACACCCGAGACTGCCCCTGATGTCAAGCCCCGCCAGTGGCATGAATGGCAGGGGAAGAGGTTGGGGCCTGTTCCAGGGGCAGGGGCAGGGGCAGGCGGGGCTGACTGGCTGACAGCCAGCCCTGTGCAGCCAAGAAACAATGAGCCACAGCCCTGAGTGGTGTTTTATGGGTTTTCATCTCATCTTGCCACCAAGTGAGGCCTGAGAGATAGTAATTATCCCTACACAAATATCAGGGCATGATTACCCAGCTGGATTTACTGCCCTCTCTCCAACTAAGCCAAGATTGGATTAGGACACAATTAATTGATGGGCTGATCAACCCTTTAAGTTGATCAAGGTCAGGAGGGGAGCAGCAGCAGGGACAGCCGTGGAAGGGGTGAGTCTCCAGAAAGAGGCAGTAGGGCAGGGAAGCAGAAATAGGGAGAACTGTGGAAGAGGGGTGGTGTTGAACATGGGCTTGGCAGGCGGGATGCCAGAGGAAGGGGACAGACTGTCCTCCCCACTCACCAGGCACTGAGCACCTGGGAGGAGAGGGTTCAGTGGCTCTGAGGCTGGAGACCCTCCCACGCTTTTGGAGCGTTCCATTGCAAAGCCGGGAGCAGGGGTGCTCAGCTCGAGCTGCACATTGGAATCTCCTGGGGAGCTCTTAGCACTCCTAGTTCCCAAGGTGCACCCCAGTCCAGTCCAATCCAAACCTCTGGGGTGAAACCCAGCTATCAGACTGTAATGCTTTCCAAGTGATTCCCAGGTGCTGTCGAAGTTGAATGGCGACCCACCCCCCCACCAGTCATGTCAGCTCCCGGGTCAGCCTTGCCTCACCAAAGTTCCACTCAGTCATGAACCTATTCATTCACTGCACAAATATTGACTGAGCACCTACTGTGTGCCAGGCACTGTTGGAGGCACTGAGAGTGCCCCCTGAATGAAACTGACAAAAACCCTGCCCTCCTGAAATTTACTGTCCCCAGTGCTGCCTTATAGTTCTCTAGGTACCTGATTCTCACCGACTTGAAGCTCCTTGAAGGCACAGTCTCTGTACTGGTGCCCCAGACCCAGGTAGACCTTGAAGGTCCTGAGAGCACGACCTAAACTTGATAAGTAAATCCAGGAAGAACAAACAAGCCATGATCCATCAGGCATGAGAGAAGTTTTGCCAACAAAGGGAGGACGAGGGGAGGCAGACAGCATGGAGCCCCCCCACCAGAAGGTCCTGGGTTTCGGGGCACAAATGTTCATCTGGGAGAGGCTGGAGCTGGGCCCCCAGTGCTGGGGGTGACCAGTGCCCAGAAGCCTCCGTTCCAGACGTGCACCTCCCGGTGACCTTCTGTGGGTTCGAGGGAGGTCTGTGGGTTTGAGTTAATTTTGCAGTTGAGTGATTCAATTGATTCATCGACAGTGGGCAGGGTGTGGAGCTGGGACATTTGTGCCATCTCAGCACTTCCTGGGGTCCAGCTGGCACAACACTCAGCCGCTGCCACCTGCCCCCTGTGGGCAATCTGAGATCCCCTCCAGGAGCCCTGCCAGCCCATGCCTGATCGTGGCATGTGCCTGGGGGCTCCTTCAGCCTGTGCTGGGGCATTGGAGGGACCTGTGGAAGAATGGCCCTGTCCTCTCCCTCAGCCAGCCTTTGGGATGTTGGAAGAGGGTTGAGACCCTATATCCTGGCAGTGGGAGTTAGTCTGTATGACCCTGAGATCTGCACCTTACTCACTGGGTGACCTCTCTCAGCCTCAACCCTATCATCTATAGAATATGAAAAATCATATCAACTTCATAAACTCAACTCCCTCCAGCAGCTCCATAGACTATGCCCAGAGTCTCTGCCATGGCCTACCGTACCCCTCCTTGATGTGAGCCCTAATGCCTTTCTGATTCAGTGCCTACACCCTTCCTCTTGCTCACCATGTTCCCACCGGAGGCTTTCATGCTTGCTGTTCCCTCTGTCTGAAATGCCTTTCCCACCACTGTTCTCAGGGCTCACTCCTTCCCTTCATTCAGGCTCATCCTCAGATGGGGTCTCACCTGAACACCTGAAAAGCATAGCCGTATATCTCTCGATGACCTTAATTTGCTCTATTTCCCTTCAGAGCACACAGCCCTATCTGAAAGTAGACTATATATTTGCTTGTGGTTCATCTCTTCTGCTCTGCTAGTCAGCCTCACAGGGATAAAAACTTAGTCTTGTTTGTCACTGTATCTCCAAGACCACTTAATGTCACTTAATAAACATTTAATACAGACATTTGAATGAATAACTGAGACACTGAACGAAAAGCACTTATAATGGTATCTAGGACTTAATAAGCACTCTCCAAACAGTAGCTGTTATAATCCGGCAACGTGAAGAAAGCCAGAAGTGTCCTGGATGGTGGTGTCAGGCCTCCCTCCTGGCCCATGGGAGAGAGACTCGAGGAGCAGAAACAAAAAAGGACCATCCCGTAAAAAAGATACCACTCAGAAAAGGATACCAGGAGGGCCTGGGTCAAGGACTAAGAATTAGAAAACAAGGAGGAGGGAGGGACCAGAGGAAGATCAACCACGATCCCAAGAAGGCCTGGCCAACGAAACCAGCTTATGGCTTAACTGACATGGAAACTGACCAGCCAGTGTGGTTCAGGCAACACCTGACTTGGTGAAAACCAGGTGGGAGAGCACATAGGACGAAGGGAGACAAGAGGCTGGTTCCAGCACCTCTCTCAACATCCAAGAACACAGGACCTCCCGCAGCTTCCTCTAGGGGTCTGGCGCTGGTCCACCACTGAGCTTTGTGGCCCAAGCTCTCCGGCAACTCGAGACCCTGGGGTCATGGTCAGCAGGAACTGCGAGCCCCACCCCTTACATGAGGTTCACTCCCTCCGTTCAACAGAACAGTCACTGATAATCTGCTGCCTTCCATCTACATACAGCTCCCTCCTTTTCTCCACTTACAGTAGCACACTCCGCTCGCACTGCTGCTCCTTGCTTGTTTCCACCGACAGTTTCGGATATGATGTCACAGCCACACGCAGACCGCTTGCTCTTTCTTGGGATGCTGTATTGTACTCCACTGTGTTGATTTGCCCGTCACTGCACTGGTCCTCTGTTGATGAACACTGAGATGACTTACCAAGTGAATAAGCTTATCTGGCACGCCGTGGTCCACCATCGCAGGCGTGTCTGTAAGGGGCGTCGGGAGGAGGGAATTGCTGGATCAGAGGACAGTCCTGTGACACTCGCATAGGCCCTGCTGCAAGCGAGCATCTCCTAACATTCTCATCAACACAGCGTGCCATCATTTTTTTTAATATTGCCAATCTGATAGGAAAAAATTGGTATCTAAGTGTAGTC